CCTGAACCCTAAACCCTAAACCCTAAACCCTAAACCCTAAACCCTAAACCCTAGCTTAAGCTGGGCCACGGCAGGGGCCGCAGAGCGCGAGCTGTGCGAACTGGCCCGGCTGGGTCGATGTGCAAGGTCATCGGAGGCTGCCATGAGGGTGCCACACCCTTGGTCCGACCGGCTAAACTGGGCTCTGAAGCTGGCAAGGGTTTAGGGTTTAGGGTTCGGGTTTAGGGTTTAGGGTTTAAAGGGTGTAAGGGCCTGTACGGCTGGACCATGGGACCTTTCTCTGGGTTTAGGGCGCAGGCCTTGTTTTCTGCCGCCGGGTTTTTGTTTCGGGGCTGAGGGCTTGGGGGTGGCTTCTGCAGGCCCCAGGAGAATTACAGATGACCGAAGCCTAGCCTAAACCCTAAACCCTAAACCCTAAACCCCAAACCCTAAACCCTAAACCCTAAACCCTAAACCCCAAACCCCTAAGGCCCTTCCCAGAGGGGGTCTTCGAGCCGAAATAAGTGCGGCGGCGCAGCAGCCTCCTATGCTTCGGACTGCTGCAGTTTCCATAGGAATTCAGTGCCCTTTTATGGGGTTTAGAGTTTAAGGCTTAGGGCTTGGGGTCTGGGGACCCGAAAGGGATACATAGGGGGATATAAGGTACCGCATTCCCACATTCCTACCAAGAACCAGTAAGTGTACCGAAGCCCCTCGCTTCTCCTAAAACCCTTCAACCCCATGGACCACCGAATTTACAAGGGGAACATGCGAGGTGGAAGCTAATTACACACCTGACATGTCCTGAAATGGGCATCATGGACGAAACCTTACAAACCCGATGTCCACCCCAAAGGCCCTAGCCCTGAACCCCAAACCCTACCCCTAACCCCTAAACCCTAGACCCTAAACCCTAAACCCTAAGCCCTAAACCCTAAACCCTAATTTCCCCGGAAGCTGGTCAGAATTTCTCACACGCAGCCCCGAAGACGGTAAACACGAAACCCTGAATCCCCTGTGACCTCTATGAAGCAGCATTTCATCTTCTACACCCGTGGGGGGTGGGGGTTAGGGTTTAGGGTTTAGGGTTTAGGGTTTAGGGTTTAGGGTTTAGGGTTTAGGGTTTAGGGTTTATGGTTTAGGGTTTAGGGTTTAGGGTTTAGGGTTTAGGGCTAGACCCAGAGTAACCCAGGAATAAACAGGGTACCCCGTTTGGTTTTAAGGGGATTATACGGGAACCTACACCCCCCAAAAAAGGGAATAAGGGCCTACTCCGGGTCCTAGTCTATGATAGCAGCACTTCATCTTGCAAGTTGTAACACAGATGATCAGTTCTATGAATCCGGGTGCACCCCTTAGGCGGGTATGGGGTTTCAAAGGCTATAGGGTTTAGGGCTAAGGTTTAGGGCTAGGGTTTAGGGCTAGGGTTTGGGGCTAGGGTTTCTTTGCTCATGCTCCAGGGGCGTAAGGGGCGTTTCGGAGCCTCGGCGTACTTCATCAAGATGTCGTGGTCCACGGGGGTGTAGTGCTGCCTTGCGGTGGGGTGGGGGGGGGGAAGGCCATGCCTCTCCTGCCTGCAAGGGGCCCCTAGCTGGGTTTAGGGTTTAGGGTTTAGTTTAGGGTTTAGGGTTTAGGGTTTAGGGTTTAGGGTTTAGGGTTTAGGGTTTAGGGTTTAGGGTTTAGGGTTTAGGGTTTAGGGTTTAGGGTTTAGGGTTTAGGGCTTAGGGCTTAGGGCTTAGGGCTTAGGGTTGAGGGTTCAGGGTTTAGGGTTTAGGGTTTAGGGTTTAGGGTTTAGGGTTTAGGGTTTAGGGTTTAGGGTTTGGCATTCTGGTTTCGGGCTTAGGTCATGGGGACAGGGGGGTCGGGTTTCAGTTAAGGGTCCAGGATCTAAAGATCGAATCTTCCTGAACCCTACACAGTCAACGCTACACCTGCTACACCCTACAGCGTGAGACACAGCACTCTTGATAGTAGAGACCTAGACCTATGAAAGACCAGCTGCCGCAAAAGCGCGAACCCTGAACCTACTTAGACAACCCTAAACACCTAAAATCCGAAACCCTATAAACCCTTAACCAAAACATGCACCCTAAACTCAGCCTAAAGCCCGAAACCCCAAACCCCAAACCCTAAACCCCAAAGCTCTAAACCCTGAACCCTAAGCTTATCTTTAGGGTTCAGGGTTCAGCCAGGGTGGGATCTTGAATCCTGAGCCCCTAATTCAAAACCCTAAAGCCCTGGAAAGGTTTAGGGCTTAGGGCTTCGGGCTTAGGGCTTAGGGTTTAGGGTTTAGGGTTTAGGGTTTTGCTGCGGAGGGCAATCCAAAGAGACCGCTCAGACCCGCAGGCTATGACAGCAAGGAGGAGAGGTTAGGGTTTAGGGTTTAGAGTTAGGGTTTAGGGTTTTGGGTTTTGGTTTGAGGGTTTAGGGTTTAGGATTCAGTTCAGGAGTTTTGAGTTTCAGGTATGGTTAAAACACTCAAAACACTGGCACAAGCCAAGAGACCCAATATAAAGCCCCTGAAACCCCTAACAAAAACCCTCAAAGATCCTGCACACCCCCTGAAGAAAAAACAACCCTTCAAAAAAAGAACCCGGAACCCTAAATCCTAAACCCTAAACCCTAAATCCTAAACCCTAAACCCTAAACCCTAGATCCTAAACCCTAAACCCTGAACCCCAAACCCTAAACCCTAACAGGGTGCCCAAAGGGCGCCCTGGATCTTGCACCCTAACAAGACTACCTACACACCCCCCAAAAAAAGAAAGAAACTCTAAACCCCAAACCCTAAGCCCTAAAAAGCCCTTCCCCTACACCCCAAACCCGAAACCCTAAACCCCAAACCCTAAGCCCTAAAAAGCTCTTCCCCTAAACCCTAAACCCTAAACCCTAAACCCTAAACCCTAAACCCCCCCTAAGGAAGCCAGGGTGCCCAAAAGGCGCGTGGATCTTGAACTCGTGGAAGAAGGAGTTCAGGCCGAAGGTCCGGGCCTTTTGGGGTTTGTAGGGTTTAGGGTTTAGGGTTTAGGGTTTAGGGTTTAGGGTTTAGGGTTTAGGGTTTAGGGTTTAGGGTTTAGGGTTTAGGGTTTAGGGTTTAGGGTTTAGGGTTTGGAGTTTAGGGTTTAGGGTTTAGGGTCTAGGGTTTAAACCGAAGGTCCGGGCCTTTGGCCCCCAACTTTAGGGTTTTCAGGGTTTTTAGGCTTTGTAGGGTTTGCGGGGCTTTTAGGGTTTGTAGGGTTTAGGGTTTAGGGTTTAGGGTTTAGGGTTTAGGGTTTAGGGTTTAGGGTTTAGGGTTTAGGGTTTAGGACATTTCGGGTTCAGGTGATTAGGGTCCGCAAATTTTCCAGTATAAGGATTTTCGGGTTACAGTTTGGGTCTTAGGTGGGGTTTCAGGGATTTGAGATTGTTTTGGTCCAGGGGTTTGAACCCGAAACCCTACACCCTAAACCCTGAACCCTACATAAACCCTAAACCCGAAACCCTTAGCGCGAAGGCAGAACAGTTGGATTGTCGGGGTTTAGGTGTTTGGGGCTTGGGGTGTAGGGCTGAGGGTTTAGGCTCCAGAGTTGCGGGCGCTTGCTCGCGCGACGTGGTGGGACTTCCTGACAAGGCGCCCTGTACCCTAAACCCTAAACCCTAAACCCTAAACCCTACACCCTAAACCCTAAACCCTAAACCCTAAACCCTAAACCCTAAACCCTAAACCCTAAACCCTAAACCCGAACAGAGAACCGGTGCAGGTTTACAATTCTCACCATCGCCTGGACCCTAAGCGCTACAAACACCCTCAAGCCCTAAACCCTAAGGCCTAAGCCCAAAGCCCTAAACCCTAAACCCTAAACCGTCGCCACCCCCGCCCCCAACAGCCTCGTCGGTGACCATGGGCACACAGCGTTTGCCGAAATCACCAGCCTGCAGCGACCGAAAACCTGAACTGTTTAAACCCTACCAGTAAAGACCTGAAGCCCTTTGGGTTTAGGGTTTATGGTTTAGGGGTTAAAGCTTACACCCTACAGCCCTAGTGGCCCTATCATGTTTAAACCCAACAAGCCTCAATTTGGGGTTAGAAGGGTTCAGGGTTCATCGGGTTGCAGGGTTTAGGTGGCATTCCCAACAACCTTCTCGTAATGGCCTTCATGAGGCGACGGAGGAGGCCGGCAAAAGCCATGGTCGTGCTCATGTCCTGCGTGGGGGGGTGGGGAGAGGCGGGGGGGGGGGGGGGGGGGGGGGGGGGGGGGGTCCTAAACCCTAAATCCTACACCCTAAACCCTAAGAACCCAGAACCCTAAACCCTAAACCCTAAACCCTAAACCCTAAACCCTGAACCCATTTTAAGCCGTTGAAACCCCAAAGGGTTGCCTTCTTGAGGGTACATAAATCGGGCTACGGTGGGCCAGAAAGCAGCGTTCATGGCAAGACGGCCAGACATGCCTCGTTTAGGGTTTAGGGTTTAGGGTTTAGGGTTTAGGGTTTAGGCCGTAAACTACCTTCAAAACGCCAATTCCCCCACCAGACTCTAAACCCGAAATCTAAACCCTAAACCTTAAACCCTAAACCCCAAACCCTGAACCCCACCCCCCAGCCACCTTTGTTTGCCATGCCTCTAGCAGGTTTAGGGTTTAGGGTTTAGGGTTTAGGGTTTAGGGTTTAGGGTTTAGGGTTTAGGGTTTAGGGTTTAGGGTTTAGGGTTTAGGGTTTAGGCCGTAAACTACCTTCAAAACGCCAATTCCCCCACCAGACTCTAAACCCGAAATCTAAACCGTAAACCTTCAACCCTAAACCCCAAACCCTGAACCCCACCCCCCAGCCACCTTTGTTTGCCTCGCCTCTCAAGCTGACGTCGAGGGTTTTGAGAAGTGGGAGTCTGCGGGTTTCGGGTTTGGGGTTTAGGGTTTGGGGTTTAGGGTCCGGGCTTTAGGGGCTTGATTCTGGAACACTATACCCTGAGCTATATATCCTATCAACCCTATGAACCCTTTGAACCCTTTTGCCCATACACGCTACCGCGAACCCTAAATCCGTCAGGCATTGATCAGCGCGCAGAACTCGTCGAAATCGATGGCGCCATCCTCGACGGCGGGCATGGGAGAGAAAGGTGCGCTGATAAGCCATGCGAGGTGGTGTAGGTTTAGGGCGGTTAGGGTTAGGGTTTAGGTTTAGGGTTAGGTTTAGGGTTTAGGGTTAGGGTTTAGGGTTTAGGGTTTAGGGTTTAGGGTTAGGGTTTAGGGTTTAGGTAGGGTTTAGTTTAGGGTTAGGGTTACGGGTTTAGGAGGTTTAGGGTTTAGGGTTTAGGGTTTAGGGTTTATTTAGGGTTTAGCGACAAGGGTCTTGAAGCCAGGTTCATAGGGTTCGGGGTTGAGGACGGGGGGGGGGGGGCGTCTGGAATGTCACGGGTTGGGGTGTCGTGTCTGGAGGCTTTCAGAGGTTTATGGGGCTCTAGGCTTTTCAGCGCATAAATGTATGGGATTCAGCTTGGGGAGCTTTAGAGTTGTCCGGGCTCGGGGTTGAAGAGGTTGATTTTAAGGGCTGAGGGTGGAAGGTTTTGTTTAGCTCGAGAGACCTAAGTCCCAAAACACTCCCTAAGCCCTCATGTCTGATTCTCATGACAGGAAACCCTAAACCCTATACCCCTACACCCCTAAACCCTACACCCCAACAAGAGTGTCGGGTTTCGGGTTTAGGGCTTAGGGCGAGGGTTCAGGGTTTAGGGTTTAGGGCTTAGGGCTTAGGGTCATGGGGCTTAGGGTCCCTTCAGGCAGCCCGGCCTTGCCGACGTCCGCTTCTTTGAAGGCCTCGAGCTTCGAGGCGGGCCTGGGCAACGGTGGTTTAGGGTTTAGGGTTTAGGGTTTAGGGTGTAGGGTTTAGGGTTTAGGGTTTTAGGGTTTAGGCTTAGAGCTTAGGGCTTATTCGGCGAAAAGAAACTCCAAAGCCTGTAAGGCTTAAAGCCATCCCGATTAGCCGAGCCTACATGCGGGACCCGCCCAGCTCGGGTCTCTCAGTTGTCCTAACCTTTGGGTCCACCCACCCCCCAAGCCCACCCACCCAACCCAACTGCCTGAAAGGGGTTTAGGGTTTAGGGTTTAGGGTTTAGGGTTTAGGGTTTAGGGTTTAGGGTTTAGGGTTTAGGGTTTAGGGTTTAGAGTTTTGGGTTGCCGTGCGCCTTCGGTATAAAAGTGCGGCAGGTATTGGGGTTGTAGACGGTAGAGTCTTGTGAAGCTTGGGACATGTGAACTAAACCCTAAACCCTAAACCCTAAACCCTAAACCCTAAACTTTAAACCCTAAACCCTAAACCCTAAACCCTAAACCCTAAACTCTAAACCCTAAACCCTAAACCCTAAACCCTAAACCCTAAACCCTAAACCCTAAACCCTAAACCTAAACCTTACGGCAGGAGGGTAGTTGATATTCGGATGCATAGCGCATTAGGCCAGCAGGGGGGGCAGCCCCTCAAAACCGGGTGCCGCTTTTTGGCCGCAAGCTGCAAGAGCTTCCACAACCATCCTGATAGGATCCTTGTGACCCGAAACCCCGAACCCCTGACCCCTAAACCATGCGCATGGGATGCTCGCAAGCGCCGCCCAAAACCTAACTCTCCGGCCGGTCTTGGGTTCTGACTCATCAGGATTTATGACTCTTACGCGGTTTCGCAACAAATAACCAAGTAGGTTTGGGTACTGAAGGTGGGATTAGGTCGCTGGGTCCGGAGGCAGGTCGCATTGGCCATCATCATTCAGTCCGAAGCAGACGAGCTGAAAGCTGGTTGTCGTGGCGCACGTGTGCGCCACGCCCACGGACACCGCCAGGACGGGGCCTAAGTCCTCGGGCACATCGCACTGGCCTTCATTGTCTTGACCACATCCGAAGCAGACCAGCTCTCTGTTGGCTTTGATGGCACATGTGTGCTCACCGCCGGCAGAAACGGCCACAACTGGTCCCAGGTCTTCCGGCACCTCGCTCTGCCCATCATCATTCCCCCCGAAACACACGAGCTGACCATCTGCCCTCACGGCACAGGTATGAGAATACCCTGCAGATACGGACTGCACTGCTCCAAGATCCGCTGGCACGTCGCACTGGCCGTCGTCATTCAGACCGAAGCACATGAGCTGCTGGTCCTGCTTGATGACACCTTAGTAGCCCAGGAACCATATTATAATCAGGGCACCCTTTTTTGGGGTGGTTGCTTTATAAGGGAACCTATAGCCAAAAAAAGGGTAAAGGGTACCACTGGGCTACCAAGGCACAGGTATGCGCGCCTCCTGCAGAAACAGCCAGAACTGGTCCAAGATCTGCCGGCACATCGCATTGGCCATCCTCGTCCAAGCCGAAGCAGACCAGCTCTGCTCCCTCCGTGACCGCACAGGTGTGGTATCTGCCAGCAGATACGGTCTCAACCGGACTCAAATCTTCAGGCACCTCGCACTGCTCCGCAAAGTTCATGCCGAAACAGAAGAGCCGCCCGTCCACTGTCACCGCGCAGGAATGCTCATGGCCCGCAGAGAAGGCACGCACGGACCCCAACTTTGGGGGCACGTCGCACTGGCCAGAATAATCCAGTCCGATTTCTTGCCCAGACCAGTTCGCTCCGAAACAGATAAGCTCCTCTGGGTTGGCCGAGGATAAACCCTCTGAAAAATATTCTAATACATAGGGTCCCTTATAAACCCAAATAAGGAAAAATATATATTAAAAAACAAAAAAACCAACCTAGTCCTGGCCGTAGATTGCACATGTATGGAAGCCGCCAGCAGAGACAAGTTGGCCGGGCCCCATATCCCTCGGCAGCGTCTGCAGCAGCATGGCCAGGCATTGCACGAGCCCCCGTTGCACGCGCTGTGCTCGGAGTAGGTGGCTCTGAGATAGCGAGCCTCGGAGCATACCAGTTGGCAGGCTTGTGTAGCGCTGTCCCCAAAGCATCGAGACTCCCAACTTCTGCTGCTACAGGTACTGTCACTAAACTTGAAAGCGGAAAGCAATCGGCTCAGCGCATGCGGAAGAAAGACTTAATTCGGGCTTCGAGCTCAAGGTGTGACGTGTGACATTTCTCTGGGTAATTCCTTGATTGGTACGTAGGGTTCCTCCCGGTCAAAAGTTCGGGTTGAGGCTTCAGGGCCTAGGGCTTTCTGCCCTGGCGACCAAGTGGCGATGTGATGCAAAACATGTGGGCCTGCGTGGGGCGTCTTATGTTGCTCTTGTGATGCCCTAAACCCTAAACCCTAAACCCTAAGGCTCCAAGGACTGCTATTTCGGGGTTTCTGGGCCATAAGGCCTTGCCATAAAAGGTTTTCGGGCTATTTTGAGCCTAAGGGTTAGGGTTTAGCGTTTAGCGTTTAGGGTTGAGGGTTGAGGGTTGAGGGTTGAGGGTTGAGGGTTGAGGGTTGAGGGTTGAGGGTTGAGGGTTGAGGGTTGAGGGTTGAGGGATTAGGGCTTAGGGTTGTTGAAAGAGTACCCTCATAGGGACATACTTGGGGCCTCTAAGCACGTCGAAGTATCTATGATGTGATGTTTGCCCTGAACAAAGGCGTTGGGGGACACGGGGCGGGCCGGGGGGTGGGATGGTGATCGAATTGCGGTCTATGCCAGAAACACTGCGCTTAGATTTAGGAGCCCTCAGACCCTGAACCCCAAACCCGAAACCCCGCAACGCCCTTTCCTGGGTGTCGTGCCCCGCGTTCTTCAGAACTTCAGAAAGGGCAGCCAGGGAGATCTTGCCTTGAAAAGGGTCTAGGTTTTGAATGTTTTTGTGAAGAGCGTTGGGTTTAGGGTTTAGGGTTTACGGTTTAGGGTTTCGGGTTTAGGGTCAAGCGGGCTGGATCCTCATTGCTGCCTCAAAGCAGCCCACGCTCCCGGCAAGGTTTGGGGCTTGTCATTCTCTTGCTTGTGGAGTCGACGATTTTTGGTTTTCTAAACCCTAAAACCCTAAACCCTAAACCCTAAACCCTAAACCCTAAACCCTAAACCCTAAACCCCAATCTCTCGAAAGGTTGGTCCCTTCTGGGAGCGCAAGGTATCAAAACCCTATATGGCTAGTTCTCTACATTAGGGTCCCTTTCTGGGCCATTGCAAGGCGTCACCCTTTTAAGAAGGACACCCGAAAAGCGACCCTAATTGAGAGAACTACCCATATTTCCAGAGGCTAGCTCTTTGGTCCATGGAAGGGCACTCGGGGAACTGCCCATCTACTTGTAAGCCCTAAACCCTAAACCCTAAACCCTAAACCCTAAACCCTAAACCCTAAACCCTAAACCCTAAACTGTCTTCAGTGGGTTGAGCGTGGCAGAGGGTCAAGGTTGTCTTAAGATGCCTCTGCAAATGCGACGCCTGAACCACCCAAAAAAAACAGAAGCTTCTGGTCCACACGTTTTAATGGGCTTTGGGTTTAGGGTTTAGGCTTTAGGGTTTAGGGTTTAGGGTTTAGGGTTTAGGGTTTAGGGCTTAGGGGTTGGGGGTTTATATAGAGTTCAGAGGGTTTAGGGTTTAGGGTTTAGGGCTTAGGGTTTAGGCTTTAGGCTTTAGGCTTTAGGGTTTAGGGTTTAGGGTTTAGGGTTTAGGGTTTAGGGTTTAGGGTTCGAGTCCAAGGTTGTTCTACAAGGCATACTTTAGGGGCTTGGGCTTCGGCTGTGATTCTGGAAGGGTTTAGGGAAACCCGAACCCTAACCCCAAACCCTAAAATCCTGAACCCTAAACCCTAAACCCTAAACCCTAAACCCTAAACCCTAAACCCTAAACCCTAAAATCCTGAACCCTAAACCCTAAACCCTAAACCCTAAACCCTAAACCCTAAACCCTAAACCCTAAACCCTAAACCCTAAACCCTAAACCCTAAACCCTAAACCCTAAACCCTAAACCCTAAACCCTAAACCCTAAACCCTAAACCCCTAAACCCTAAACCCTAAACCCTAAACCCTAAACCCTAAACCCCTAAACCCCTAAACCCTAAACCCTAAACCCTAAACCCTAAACCCCAAACCCTAAACCCTAAACCCTAAACCCCTAAACCCTAAACCCTAAACCCTAAACCCTAAACCCCGGCCTTCCTTGCGCACGTCGAAGCGCCTGAAGGCCGCCATGAGCTCGGCTTTGCCGAAGCCCTGGCGAGCCAGGAGAGCCTCGCAGGGTTTAGGGTTTAGGGTTTAGGGTTTAGGGTTTAGGGTTTAGGGTTTAGGGTTTAGGGTTTAGGGTTTAGGGGTTTGGGGTTTAGGGTTTAGGGTTTAGGGTTTAGGGTTTAGGGTTTAGGGTTTAGGGTTTAGGGTTTAGGGCTTAGGGCTTAGGGCTTAGGGCTAAGGGGTTGGGGGGTTTATATAGAGTTCAGAGTCTAGGGTTTAGGGCTTAGGGTTTAGAGCTCAAGGTTCAGGATTCAGGAAGCCAGTAGAGCCTCGGATTTGGGTTTAGGGTTTAGGGTTTAGGGTTTAGGGTTTAGGGTTTAGAGTTTAGGGTTTTGGGTTTTGGGTTTAGGGTTTAGGGTTTAGGGTTTAGGGTTTAGGGTTTAGGGTTTAGGTGTTTTGGGGCTTTAGGGTTTCAGGGTTTGAGGCTTTTGGCGGCTTAAAGTTTTAGGGCTTAGGGCTTTTTGGGTGTTTGGGTTTTGGGCTCATAGGCTGAAGGTATGGGTTTCGAGGTTTAATATCCAATGTTCGGCGTAGGGCCCTTACGCCCCTCCAAACCCTTCAAGTAATTAAGCGTCCAAGCGTTCTGGACCTTCGGCCCCGGATCCGAAACCCGAACATAAAGACCAGGGTGTAGGGTTTAGGGACTAGGGTTTAGGGTTTAGGGTTTAGGGTTTAGGGTTTAGGGTTTAGGGTTTAGGGTTTAGGGTTTAGGGTTTGGGGAAAAATCCAGGAAAAACCAAGACCCAATGAGCCCTGCTCTGAGTTCCGGGCCGCAGTAAAGTCCGTAAATGAGATCTTCTCCTTGGGGATTTAGGCGCTAGGGCTTGTAGGGTGCAGCGTGCAGGTTCAGGGATTTAGGGTTCAGGGTTTAGGGTTGAGGATTTAGGGTTTAGGGTCGAGGGCGTCAGCCTAAAGCTTGAGATCTTGGAGGTCTAGCGCTCGGAGCCTCAAGGGTTTGAGGGCTTATGGTTTAGGCGCGCCTTGGCTTCCAAACAAGGCTTAGGGTTTCGGGTTCAGGGTTTAGGATTTAGGGTTCAGGGTTTCGGGACTAGAGTTCTTGAGCCCTAAACCCCAAACCCTAAACCCTAAGCCCGAATGCTCAAACCAAATCGACCCCAAAGACCCCCAGGGTTGAGGGTTTAGGGTTTAGGGTTTAGGGTTTGGAAAAGCACGTCCGAAAGCATTCTTTTCCACCTCTGGTGACTGTGCGGTGCATGGTCGGCGTTTTTGAAACAATTCGTACCGTCTGGACTACACGAACTCCAAAAGGCTTAATACAGGGGCCTCAATTATTGTTAAAACGGGTTTTTGGGGTGATACAAAAATATCATTATATAGGAACTGTGAGGGAATACTATTAACCCGAAACCCAAGAATCGTCAACCCTAAACCAAAGACATGGGTATGAAGAGGAGCAGAGGGCCCAAGGGGGAGATGTAAGAAAATCTACCAATAACCCTATAGACACCCTAGAATAACCCTGTCATCCCTAAACCGTAAACCCTAAACCCTAAACCCCATCATCACCCTGGCATAACCCCATCATAACCCTATCAGAACTCCATAAAAACCCTACAGACCAAAGTCGAGCTTCGTGCAGTCCCCACGGTAACATCTCGGGCTGTGCCGATCGATGGCTGTAGAGGCCTCACCCCTACTTTTGGGGGCGAGACTGTGTAAAGATCGGTGTTTAGGGTGTAGGGGTTTAGGGTGTAGGGGTTTAGGGTTTAGGGTTTAGGGTTTAGGGTTTAGGGTTTAGGGTTTAGGGTCTAGGGTTTAGGGTTTAGGGTTCAGGGCTTGAGCGCTTAGGTGTTAAAGGGGCACTCTGGGCAAGGTGCCGCGCTCCACGCAAGACCTCCTAAACTTCCGTTTAAAGCCCAGAGGGCCTACCGAACGGTTAAAAGCGGCGGCTCTCCAGGCAGAATACAGGATCCCAAGCAACCTAAACCCGAAATCCTGAAGCCTCTTAAGCCCTGTACGAACCCTACAACAGCCCTATGATGACCCTGTAATACCCTCGCAAAACCCTATCATATCTCTTGCATAACCCTGTAACCCTATAAACGCTACACACATTTGCTATACTGAACTTGGAACCCTATCAAAAGTTGTGGTCGTGCTGTTTTTTTAGGAATTATAGTACCCAAAATTTAAAAAAATATTTCCAAGTACCCCTAGGTTTGTATCATTTGGGCTCCTGCATCAGGCATATGCCTTCGCCAGCTCCCAGCACTTGGCGTCGAGCTTCTCCTGGAACTCGAGGCTGGCTGTCGCGGCAAAGCCGATGCATGTCCTGGGCTTAGGGTTACAGGGTTACAGGGTTACAGGGTTACAGGGTTACAGGGTTACAGGGTTACAGGGTTACAGGGTTACAGGGTTACAGGGTTACAGGGTTACAGGGCTACAGGGGCTACAGGGTTACAGGGTTTAGGGTTTAGGGTTTAGGGCTACGAGATTTAGGGTTTAGGGTTTAGGGTGTGGGGCTCAGGGCCTAGGATTCGGTGGTTTAGGCGTCCTTTTGTCTAGCCAGGATGGGTATATGCATGCGTGCATGTACACGTGTATGTGTATATGTCTTTACGTAACTATGTGTATGTATCTACATATGTGTATATATACATACATATATGCATATATGTGCTCACCACCGATATTCATCTGGGTGTCTGCAATAAATAAACAACACTCAATTGATCGTTTAGGGACTTGGGACCTTGCGAAACATGGGTGTTGTACCTACCCTGAACCCTAAACCCTAAACCCTAAACCCTGAACCCTGAACCCTGAACCCTGAACCCTGAACCCTGAACCCTGAACCCTAAACCCTAAAGCCCAGTTTCTGCGGCCGGCAGTTGTAGTACCACCAAGCCCCGTCCGTGACGGCCTTCTTCGGAACCTCGGGACCTCGGCAGTCCAGGTGCCCACAGGTAAGTCAGGGTACCTCCCTGTGGCATGTTGGTCCCCTTGAAAACCAGAACCCCAAACCCTAAAACCGGAAACCCAAAGCCCTAAACCCTATAAGCCCTAAGCCCTAAGCCCTAAACCCTAAACCCTAAACCCTAAGCCCTAAACCCTAAACCCTAAACCCTAAAGGCTGCACCGAGGGGCTCAAGGCACAGTACATGGTCGTGGAGGCACCCTCTTCTTGGCTCTTGTGCGTATGTGCCAGGCTCCTGGGTTTAGGGTTTAGGGTGAAAAGTTTAGGGTCTAGGGTTTAGGGTTTAGAGTTTTAGGTTTAAGGTTTACGGCGGAACGAGGTCCACCTTCGGGAGTTCGAAGGCTTTGGGTTCAGGGCTGACAGGGCTTAGGGCTCCGGGTGTGCTTGAGGGTTCAGGGTGCGGTTTAGGGTTTAGGGTTTAGGGTTTAGGGCTTAGGGCTTAGGGCTTAGGGCTTAGGGCTTAGGGCTTAGGGCTTAGGGCTTAGGGCTTAGGGTTCAAAAAAGCGCGAAAGCTTCTACCTATACGCCACCTGAGTCTCTTGCCGGCGTAGAAAGCGGCAGTCAGCCCTGGATTGTCCTTACCCAAGCCGGAGTTGATGATGCCAGGGTGCACCTTTCAAAGGGTTTAGGGTTTAGGGTTTAGGGTTTAGGGTTTAGGGTTTAGGGTTTAGGGTTTAGGGTTTAGGGTTTAGGGTTTAGGGTTTTTTAATATGGACCCAAGGAACCCTTACATACTCGTTACATATCCTGTGCAAATGAACGGCCCATACATCCGAACGCAGTTGATGCAAGGATGCACCTTGTGGACTAAGCCCTCAAGGGCGGAGGGTTTAGGGTTTAGGGTTCAGGGTTTAGGGTTTAGGGTTTAAGGTTGGGATGTTCCCCCCCTTCCTTAATAGAGGATTCTAGTATCCCCTCCCGATAATAACCCCCTATTAAGGACGGTTAGCAAAAGGGGAACATCCCAAGGTCGAGGTTTCGTTAGGGTTGAGGGCTTCCTCCATGATGTATTAGGAACTTGGGTAGGAGACTGGGCTGCACTTAGGAGGGTAGCTATAAATTACATTTTTAGCTGCCTTCTTAAGAAACCCAATGAACCCAAAAAGGCTAAGGATCTAAAGTTACAGTAAAGAACCACAAAGGAGAGGTGTGGCATGTGATCACGCTGTTGAGATCCATTTCGTCCCCGAGGCGCGGCGCAGACAAAGATCTTGTCTTTCGTGTACTTGTGGTGCATGTGCCTCGCCTCACTGGCTGAGTTCTCGAGAGGACTTAAAGGGTTTAGGGTATCCTAAGCCCCACACCCAAAACCCTGAGCCCTAAGCCACAACGCGTAGGCTTACCTGCTGCACACCGAAGTCGCATGAATCATATCGATGCACTTTGTGCTTGTGTAGTCCCCCATATCCGAGTAGAAGTCGGGCCCACTAGGTACGGCCTTCTCCAGATCCACATTCCAGCAACCTAGGAGCAGAGCGGGCTTCTTGGTTTCTGCTTTGGGGTTTAGGGTTTAGGGTTGAGGGTTTAGGGTTTAGGGCTTGGGTTCAGGGTTTCGGAGAACTAGACCTTCGAACAAAAAAGGTAACAAGAGCACCACCAGGCATGCCAGCAACATTCGCCGGCAAGGGAGCCCAAGTACACGACGCGGGCTTCCCCCGCTGTCTGTGCCGTCTCCTTCAGCTTGGGAAGCAAGAGGTGCGTCAGCAAATAGTGGCCTTGGTGCAGCCATCTGAAAAAATCCTGAAGACGGTTTAGGGTTTAGGGTTCAGGGTTCAGGGCTCAGGGTGTAGGGTTCAGGGTTCAGGGTTTAGGGTCCTCTTAGAAAAAACTCCCAAATCAGGGTCAACCCAGCGGCTCCAGTTGTCTAGACCCAGGAGTAGCCGAGGAACAAAAAAAAGAAAGGTTTGATTTCCAAAGGGGATTAGGCCCTAAACCCTAACCCTTAAACCCTAAACCCTAAACCCTAAACCCTAAACCCGAAACCCTAAACCCTAAACCCTAAACCCTAACAAAAACAGGAAGAAGGGCCCCAAAAACCCAGCGGCTCATGTTGTTGATGGCAAACTGGCTCTCCATCCCCTGCTTTGATGCGCGGTAGACGGGCGGCGCCATGATGCCTGCCTAGGAGGGCCCTTGAAACCCTGGAACAAAGATTCCCAAATAGGGTTTAGGGTTTAGGGTTTAGGGTTTAGGGTTTAGGGTTTAGGGTTTAGGGTTTAGGGTTTAGGGTTTAGGGTTTAGGGTTTAGGGTTTAGGGAAAAGCACGAAAATATCCCAAGGGCCTACCTGGCTGCATTGTTGATGAGGCAATGCAGCGGAAGATTCATTGCAAGGAACTCCTGCACGAAGGGCTTCACGGTAGCCAGGTCGTCTAACTCAATCTTGATGAAGGTGGCTTTTCCTGTAAGTGTCTCCTTGGCCTGCATCTCGGCAAGTACCTTGGCCGCCTTCTCCTTGTTCCGAATCGCGAAGACAACGTGGCAGCCATACTTCAGAAGGCACCGCGCGTTCTCCAGTCCGAGGCCGTTGGTGGCCCCTGGGGGCTTACGAAAAAGGTTTAGGGTTTAGGGTTTAGGGTTTAGGGTTTAGGGTTTAGGGGTTTAGGGGTTTAAGGGTTTAAGGGTTTAAGGGTTTAGGGTTTAGGGTTTAGGGGGGCCCGAACATAGACTAGCAGGATTCCCTTATGATAAGGGGCCCCTAAAAAAGACCCCCCCCCCCCCCAAAGAGTATAGGATTCCCTTATCATAAGGACCCCAAGAAAGGTACCCCCCTTAAGTTCTGAAAACCGCCCCCCACCTGTGATAATGACGACCTTCCCCTTCAGGGCCTCATAGTTGCCCTTGCCACAGACCTCCTGAAGGTTTAGGGTTTAAGGTTTAGGGTTTCGGGTTTAGGGTATATAGAGGTTGCCCAAAATAGGGGGGTCCAACTGTACCCCCAGGTGCTCGAATCCCAATTCTGGGAACCCCCAAAAAAGGGTACCCCCACAATTTTCGGAAACCCCGTTTAGGGTTCAGGGTTCAGGGTTTAGGGTTTAGGGTTTAGGGTTTAGGGTTTAGGGTTTAGGGTTCAGGGTTCAGGGTTCAGGGTTTGGGGTGCAGGGTCCCCTCCTCAACTACGGACTCACTGGTCTTCTTTGGGTTCGTGAGCATCTCCCAGTGTGCACCGACCACGATGCCGCGGAACATCTGCCAAAAGGAGGTCTTCGATCGCGTCGCGGCATCGAAGATGAGCCGGTAGAACAGGGACTTGTAGTACCTTAGGTGCTGAGTTAACCCTAAACCCTAAACCCTAAACCCTAAACCCTAAACAGTTCCCTCGGGTAAAAAAAGGTTCACCTTTGGGTTTGAAGAGATTTATAGTACCCCAAAAAAGGTTAAAGGTTGCCCACCCAGCACCTAAGGTACTGTAGCCCCTTCCACTCAATGGCCAGCGCCTCGGACAGACCCATCGCACAGGCCGTCCCAGCTCTACAAGGAGATGTCTGGCGGATCGCTGAGCCTTGTCCTCCAGACGAACATTCCTCTAAGACCTAAAGGAGTCTCTTTGGGTCGTTACGTGGTCCCTTAGTATGGGCCAGTAGAAAAGGGGACCCCTTACAAACGGGCCCATGCTGCAGAACCCTTTAAAGGAGGCAAGAGACCATATTCAGGGCCCGTGGAACTACCCTCAGATAACCACACCATGCTCCAGCATATGGGAGCTGTGCTTGCAAGCGTTTCATTCGCCCCTAAGGACGGGTCTGGACCACGGATCCACCCCGATGGCCCTGTTACCCTCAGCCTCATCTCAGCTGTTCTTGGAACTCCTGAAAATGCTAAACTTGAAAACGCTCCTTCTGACCGAGTGGTGATGGAAACCACATTGTCGCCGCTGGAAGAAAAAGGGCAGTGTTTGGGGTGTTGTATAGGGGCCTGAAGGGCTATTATAGTATAATTACAAAGGGACCGTACGGGAATATTATTGGTAATTGTTCCGACCCCTATAGTAGATGATGGGGTCGTATCGAATTCCTTTCCTCGCCCAGAACCGAACCGAAACCCTAAACCCTAAACCCGAAACCCCAAAAAAGGGTTTAGGGTTTAGGGTTTAGGGTGTATATAGGCGGGCTGAGCATGGGTTTCAAGAGTTTGCGGGCACATGGGGGTTTCCGAAAATGGCGGTCCGTTTGGGAGGTGGCCCTTTAATGGATTCATTCTATTTGGGGTATAAAAGCGGTACCCCTATTTCGGGAAATGCCCACATCACATGGATTTAGGGTTCAGGGTTTGAGGGTTTTCGCGCTGAGGGTGTTAGGACTTAGGGCTTATGGTGCTTTAGGGTTTCAGGATTTAGGGTTTAGGGTCTAGGGTTTAGGGGTTTAGGGTTTGGGGTTTGGGGTTTAGGGTTTAGGGTTTCGGGGTTTCGGGGTTTAATTAAGGAGACTGTAGGGCCACCCCAGGCGCTCCACTTCTGGGTACCCGGGCACCGAAGAGGTCTGGAGGAAGGATCCGAAACAAGTCCGACGACGTCATGTCCCTGAACCTCGATGGGATGTGGTTTGGGGTTTGGGGTTTAGGGTTTAGGGTTTAGGGTTTAGGGTTTGGGGTTTAGGGTTTAGGGTTTAGGGTTTAGGGTTTAGGGTTGAGGGGTTTAGGGGTTTTAGGCGGTCAAGGGTTACGTAAAGGAAACCCAGGCGCTAAGCGTACGCAGCAAAACCTTAACCCCTAAGGGTACCACGCAACTGCTGCTGACTTAAGAATCCATGGCATGCCTCTCTACAGGGTGGGGCCCCCTAGTTATAAGTAGAGTTATAAGGGCCCTAAATTGGGTTATAAGGACCCTAAGTTAGGTTATAAGTCCCCTAACTACAGTTAGTATAGTAAGGGGGCCCCACCCTGTAGGTTCTAACGGTAAAAGCCCTTCTAGGATGTTTCGGGTTTAGGGGTTCAGGGTTGAGGGTTTAGGTACCCTAGACCCTACTAACTTACCTTCCTACAGGGTGGGGCCCCCTTTCTATACTAACTGTAGTTAAGGGACTTATAACCTAACTTAGGGTCCTTATAACCCAATTTAGGGCCCTTATAACTCTACTTATAAATAGGGGGCCCACCCTGTAGGTTCTTATTATAGAGCCCTTCTAGGGTTCTTAGGCAACTTGCAAAACCTAAATACCTTCAACCCTCGACCCCAAGATGTCGCTCTCTTAAAGCAGAGACTGGCTGGCTCTTAGTAGGGAATGAGGGAATGAGTACCCTGCATAATCCCTTCAAGGGTATATAGAACCCTACTTCCCTCATTTTGCAGGGGGCTAACCCTAAACCCCAAACCCCGAACCCTAAACCCCAAACCCTAAACCCTAAGTCCCTCATTCCCTACCAAGAACTTCCGGGGGAGATGGCATCCTCAGCACGGTGTCTGCCTGGGGTTCGGGGTTCCGGGGAGGGGCGTGTGGGCGCCCTGTACAGGGGTCTATAGCTGATGAGGGTTTTAGGGCTTAGGGTCTTAGGGTCTCCTAACAACCCTAAACCCCAAACCCTTGACGGTTTAGGGTTTCGGGTTTAAGGTTTAGGGTTTAGGCTTAGGGTTTGGGGTCCTAAACCCTAAGCCCCAGCCCCGCACAACTCTGCAGCCCTGCGCTGCATTCCTTCAGGTAACACATTGGCTCGGGTCGGCCGACAGCAATCACACTCCTTCTTCAGGTGTAGGGTTTAGGGCTTAGGGTTTAGGGTTTAAGGTTTAAGGTTTAGGGTTGAGGGTTGAGGGTTGAGGGTTGAGGGTTGAGGGTTGAGGGTTGAGGGTTGAGGGTTTAGGGTTTAGGGTTTAGGGTTTACGGTGTGGGGCTTTGTTACTCCATGAACCTCGCAGTCCTGCAATGACAAGCTTTCGAGCGGCAGAATCCGAGTCTCTCAGCTCCCTCCCCTTGTACCAAACTGGCTAGGCTGCCCAGTAACCTAGGCTTAAAAAGGGTGCCCTTTTTTGCTAAAAGGGGTTTATAAGGGAACCTAAACCCCCCAAAAAGGGAATAAGGGTACTACTGGGCATCCTAGCTGGACGTCTAACAAGAAAGTCGAACTAAGTTTCCGGAATAAGATGATGCAGCACACAATGAAAGTATCCCTATCATGGTAGTTCATCCCCCAACAACCCAAAAGCCTCCAAGCCCTAAACTCCGTGAAGAATAACCCTAAACCCTAAACCCTAAACCCCAAAACCCTAAACCCTAAACCCTAAACCCTAAACCCCATGCCCTAAACCCAGTGAAAAGCCTTGTCTTACACCGCCTCGCTAGGAGCCCTGCCCCTCGCACTGGCGCAGGCCAGCCCTTGGCTTTAGGGGGGCTTAGGGTTTCGGGTTTAGGGCGCTTAGGGTTTCGGGTTTAGGGTTTAGGGTTTCGGGTTTAGGGTTTAGGGTTTCGGGTTTAGGGTTTGGGGTTTAGGGTTTCGGGTTTAGGGTTTCGGGTGTGAAGGCAGAGTTTGGGGTCTGGTGCCTGGGGTGCCCTGGAAAGAGAACGGGTTTTGGTGGAGGGTTCAAAAGCTTCAGGTTTTTGGTGTGTTTATTCCCTGAACCCTAAACCCCGCCCACTCACACCGGGATCGGGACATAAACCGCAATTTCTGAGAAATAGCGTTGCTGCTTATGAAAAAGCCCCTGAGCGCAGAGTGTTAAGCCATCAAGGGCCTTTAGGGTTCTAGGGCGTTGTTTTTAGTAGATGTCGGCACGATGCCCGCTCTGTGCGAAAACTTCTCCGTACACCTGAAGACAAGCCCACAGGCCCCTCTCAAACCCAGAAGAGGCGCATACTGCACTTTACAGCTGCAACACAAGACCCGAAACCCTACACCCTAAACCCTGAAGACCCTAAACCCGAACGACCCTAAACCCTAAGCCCTATAAACCCTATAGCTAGGCTGCCCAGTAACCAAGGCTTAAGAAGGGTCCCCTTTTTTGCTTAAAGCGGTTTGTAAGGGAACCTAAACCCCCCCCCAAAAAAGGGAATAAGGGTACTACTGGGCATCCTAGTATAGAAACCCTAAACCGAACAAACCCCGGAAGGCTTCTCAGGGATTCTCAGCACGGCACAGCAGCTCCTCCCGGGAAAGGAAGCCATCCTTGACAACTTCTGCTTTTGTGGAGTTTATAGGGCTTAGGGTTTAGGGTTTAGGATTTAGGGTTTAGGGTCTAGGGTTTAGGGTTTGAATCGCTTGAAAATGACCACCAAATAATAGAACAGTCTACGATTTAAGGGCTCTACTTTGTTGATGCTCCCGCTCAGAAAAGAAAAGAAGACCCTCGACGTGAAAACCTAAAAGCCCAAAACCCTGGGTAGTCTAAAACCCTACACCCGAAAGCCTGAACCCTCAACCCTGAATCCCAAACCCTAAACACTAAACCCTAAACCCTAAACCCTAAACCCTAAATCCTGGGTAGTCGGAATTTCCAAGGCGGCGGGCTTCAAGGCCGCTAAGGAGTTTCAAAGCCTAGGGCTCAAGCGGCGGGTGGGTCCCCAGGTTTAGGGTCTAGGGTCTAGGGTCTAGGGTTTAGGGTTTAGGGTTTAGGGTTTAGGGTTTAGGGTTTAGGGTTTAGGGTCTAGGGTGTGGGGTTAGGGTCTAGGATATGAGGAGGTCTTCTGAACTGCCTGAAATTTGTGGGTGAGAAAGAACCCTGAACCCTAGAGCCACCCCCAACCCACGGTCCTGCTGCACGTCCAGGGTTCGAAACTGCTCGCGAAGAGTCTTCACCTGGGTGTGTGCTTAGAGGTTTAGGGGTTTAGCGGTTTAGAGGTTTAGGGGCAGGGGTTTGGGGGTTTCGGGGTGCAGGGTTTAATTAGGGTTGAGGGTTTGGGGGTTTAGGGTTTTTTAGGCTTTAGGGCTTGGGGTGTAGGGTTCCGAAAGCACTGCCTCAGTGGGCTTAAGGGGTAGGGTTCTAGGGACAGGCTCTTGCTGGTGTGATTGCGCCCGACTGGATGCGCCCACGTATACTTAAACCCTAAAACCCTAAACCCTGAACCCTCAACCCTAAATCCCAAACCCTAAACCCCAAACCCCAAACAATCTCACAAACACACTGGGGCTGCAGCACGCTCTTCGTCAGCCTTGAGAGGTATGATGTCAGGCTTGCGCGGAGATCGGGAGTTGGGGCTTGGTGCCCTAACCCTAAACCCTAAACCCCAAATCCCTAAACACTACACCCTAAACCCTAAACCCTAAACCCTAAACCCTACCTGAAGAACCCAAAACCTGTTTTTTGTGGGTGACATAAGAAGCAATCGCCTACAATAATGTAGGTTTGGGTTTCAAGGTCGACCCTAAACCCCAAACCCCAAACCCTAAACCCTAAACCCTGAAGCCCTAAACGGGAGTAACCTAGGAAGAAAAAGGGTGCCCTTTTTGGTTCTAAGGGGGATTATAAGGGAACCCGAACCCTAAAAGAAAAAAAAGGGGCCTACTCCCGGTCCTAGTCTCTGAAACACAGACCCCCGAAATTTTGAGGTCCCACATCTTTCAGCCTGGCGGAGGGTTTTTTGTTTTGCACAAAGCTAAGCCCCAAACCCCAAACCTTCGACACTTGCCTCTTTGGCAAGAAGCTTCAAAACAGCGCGCTTGAGCTTGCTGGAGGCCTGAAGCGGAGGCAGCATGCCGGAGTTTCGGTTTCAGGGTTCAGGGTTCAGGGTTTAGGGTTTAGGGTTTGTAGGGTTTGCGGGGTTTGTAGGGTTTGTAGGGTTTAGAGTCTCTGTCTACTTCCCATTGTGTAGTGACTTTTGAGGAGGGCTTCACAGGGGTAGTTTTGAACATAATGTTTATTTTTCGTTACGCTTGATCCCCAAAAAAAAGTCCTTATAAAGCCATAAAAATCTTTATAGCCCAGTTTAATTCATGATGTGTCAATGTTTTGCGTTGTTTTCGTGGCAGCGGCTTGGCATTCCAGTTGCTTTTGCATGAAATGGCCGGGCCTCTCACTCACAAGAGAGCCCAAATCCTAAAACCCCCTAAGCCATCTCGTTTAGGGTTTAGGGATTAGGGTTTAGGGTTCGATGAAACCTTTCGCCTGGGACCTAATCCCACCCTGAACCCTAAAACCCTTGATGCCCTGGGTAGAAGGGGGTATAAGGGGGGTTAAAGGGCCCAAAACCCTAAACCCTAAACCCTATACCCTACCCCCTACCCTAAACAACCCCAAACTCCAAAGACCCGGAAACCCCGGAACCCTAAACCCTAAACCTTAAACCCTAAACCCTGAACCGGGTGTGAGGGGTTAACCCTACGTCGCGATAGGGGCCTGATACTTGCAAAGGCCGTCGAAGACGGACTTGTCCAAGACCTGGCGGTGGGGGTTCAGGGTTTAGGGTTTAGGGTTTAGGGTTTAGGGTTTAGGGTTTAGGGTTTAGGGTTTAGGGTCTGCTCTTCTCGGGGCTCCGGCTGTGGGGAGTCGGGCTAAGCTCTCCTCCAGCGCGCACTCAAACCCATTGATCTCAAAACCCTTGCTAAGGCCTAAACCCTAAACCCCAAACCCGAAACCCTAAACCCTAAACCCTACTCCCTAAACCATCAACCCTAAACAAAAAACTCTGAACAGAAAGCCCTGATCCCTGGCGTTTACGCGTTTGGGTGTTCAGGGGGTGGTTTCGGGTTTAGGCCTGCGAGGTCATAGGGCTCAGCATTTAGGAGTTGGGCTTTGGCTGTGGTTCAGGGTTTAGGGTTTCGGGTTTCGGGTTTCGGGTTTAGGGTTTAGGGTTTAGGGTGTAGGGTTTAGGGTTTAGGGTTTAGGGTTTAGGGTTCAGGGGTTTCTGAGGGTTTGGGGTCACTTGGCCGTTTCGGACTGAGGAGCTTACCCTAACCAGCCCCACCCTAAAACCCTAAACCCGAACCCTACACCCTAAACCCTAAACCCTAAACCCTAAACCCTAAACCCTAAACCCTAAACCCTAAACCCTAAACCCTAAACCCTAAACCCTAAACCCTAACCCCTAAACCCTAAACCCTAAACCCTAAACCCTAAACCCTAAACCCTAAACCCTAAACCCTAAACCCTAAACCCTAAACCCTAAACCCGAAACCCTAAACCCTAAACCCTAAACCCTAAACCCTAAACCCTAAACAATAAACCCTAAACCCTAAACCCTAAACCCTAAACCCTAAACCCTAAACCCTAAACCCTAAACCCTAAACCCTAAACCCTAAACCCTAAACCCTAAACCCTAAACCCTAAACCCTAAACCCTAAACCCTAAACCCTAAACCCAAGCAAGCGGCCTTGGCCCCTCCTGTGACAGCGCCTTCAGCATTGTCTTGGAGCCTCAGGCGGGCTTTGGAATCTTTAGGGTTTTGGGGGCTTGTGGTTTCGGAGCTTTGGGGCGGAAGCCCTAAACCCTAAAAAGCCCTAAAACCCTAAACCCTAAACCCTAAACCCCAAGCGTTTGTAGGGGCTCTAGAGGCACATGTTAGGGTGTTGGGGATTTGCGGCTTTAGTTCGACCTCAGGCTTTAGGGTTTAGGGTTTAGGGTTTGGGGTTTAGGATTTAGGGTTTAGGGTTTAGGGTTTAGGGTTTAGGGTTTAGGGTTTAGGAGGCCGTGGGCTTGGAGCCCACCTCTCGTGCGGAACCTAAGGAAGCCGAAGACCAGCGCGGTGGTCTCTGGGCCCTCTTGGGGGTTCAGGGGGTTCATATAGGGGCCTGAACAACTAGAACAGTGTTTGTGTTTTTTGTTGTTGCTTTTTTCTTCTTTTTTTTTTTTTTTGGGGGGGGGGGGGGGTATTGTAGTAGAATTATAAAGGGACCATAAGGGGATACTGTTCGTTTGGTTAGGGTTCGGCCGGCGTTTTGGGGCTTGAGGCTTCGTAGGTTCAGTCAGGGCTGGGTTTTGGGGTTCTTAGGGTTCCAGGTTTCAGGGCCAAGCTCCAAACCAGCAGCTAAACCCTAAACCCTAAACCCTAAACCCTAAACCCTAAACCCTAAACCCTAAACCCTAAACCCACAGAACTCGAATGGCCCCAACCTGAACGCAAGAGGCAAGACATCATCCTCAAGGACTTAGTTTCGGGTTCAGGGTGCTCCTAAAACCTAAACCCTAAACTCTAAACTCTAAACCCGAAACTTCCTAAACCGCCCTAAACTCTTAGGCTGAATTCAGAACCAAGAGCGCAAAACTAGGGCTTCAATGCACACAGCAGCGTAAGCTCCCGAATCGTCTTAGCTGGGGTTCGGATCTCCAGCAGTTGGGGTGTAGGGTTTAGGGTTTAGGGTTAGGGTTTAGGGTTTAGGGTTTAGGGTTGAGGGTTGAGGGTTGAGGGTTGAGGGTTGAGGGTTGAGGGTTGAGGGTTGAGGGTTGAGGGTTGTGGGGGCTCGGTTAGGAATATGGGGTTGGCTTAGGGTTACTGATTCGCGGGAGCTTAGGTCCCAAAGGCCCAGAGCTACCCAAGCCCAACAGCCAGAAACCAAAAAGCCTGCTCGGGTCTACGCAGTGCTCCATACTGTTCAGAGCCACCAGGGCTTGCCCTAAACCCCAAACCCTGAACCCTAGACCCTCCTAAACTGAAAACCCTAAACCCTAAACTGAAAGCACTTAAAGACCTAAAAGCCTGTGGAGCCTCTTGGGCTGAGCGCCCTGCCAGGGGTGCCGCAGAGCGTCTGCCGCACTTACGCGGCGCGCGGGGTTGGCCACCTCATATGAGGTACAGCTTACAGGGTTTACAGGGTGTACAGTATTTACAATAGTTACAGTACTTACAGGGTTTACAGGGCTTATAGGGTTGAGAGGGTCTATAGGGCTTAAAGGGTTTATAGGGTTTATAGGGCTCATAGGGCTTATAGGGTTTAGAGTGTCCCTACCGAGTATCCCTGTAACAACACCCCCAATACCCCCCAAAGGCCCTAAACCTTAAACCCTAAGAGAGGAAGTTGGCGCCGAAGGAGCAGAGGCGATTGTTAAGGTGGAGAAGAGCCCAACAAGCACGATGGAAGGGTTTAGGGTTTAGGGTTTAGAGTTTCGGGTTTAGAGTTTAGAGTTTAGGGTTTAGGTTGAAGCAGCTCATCAGCCAACCGGAAACCTCAAACAAACCGCCGAAGATGTGCGGCAGACCACTTTGTGCATGGGGAACAGTGCTGGAGCTGCGTCCACTTGCACGAGATGTGCGCGCCAGAGCGTGAACTCCACTCCACGACACAGTCTTTCCCATTGCCCGTCGAAGCTTGCTTGGGCCAGCGAGGGCGCAGCTTCGCGAGGAGAAACTTCGCGGCCGCCAACGAAGCTGATATGTAGAAGCCTGGCATGAGGCTGGCCTAGTCGGCTGTGTTTTGCTGCCTTCGGTCTGCGCCACTGCGGTCGAAGAATCTGCGTGCAGACTTGGGAACCCTAAGCCCTAGGCCGAGACCCCTGAAACCTAAAGCCAACACCCCCGAACCCCAACCCCTGCACCCCAAACCCTAAACCCTAGACACCAGACCCCTATGTAAACCCTCCAGCCCCAGCCCTAAACCCTAAACCCCTGAACCCTCCACCCCAAACCCTAAACCCCTGGACCCCTGAACTCTGAGTCTAAACCCTGAACCCTAAACCCCTAAACACTAAACCCTAAACCCTAAACCCTAAACCCTAAACCCTAAACCCTAAACCTAAACCCTAAACCCTAAACCCTAAACCCTAAACACTAAACCCTAAACCCTAAACCCTAAACCCTAAACCCTAAACCCTAAACCCTAAACCCTAAACCCTAAACCCTAAACCCTAAACCCTAAACCCTAAACCCTAAACCCTAAACCCTAAACCCTAAACCCTATCCGAGGCGAGTGCCATCAGCTGGAGGGTGAGATCGCGCGCGGGGGCCGGAGCTGCTAAGAGGTTGGGGTGGCTGGGCACCTCATGAGAGGACGGCGGTCTTGAGGGGTTTGGGATTCAGGGGTTGGGGGTTTAGGGTTTGGGGTTTGGAGTTTGGGGTTTGGGGTTTGGGGTTTAGGGTTTAGGGCTTAGGGCTTAGGGTTTGGGGCTTAGGGCTTAGGGCTGAGGGTGTAGGGTTTATATAGGGTTTGGGGTTTAGCGTTTTTAAGTGTAGGGTCGAGGGCTTAGTGAAATCAGCAGCAGAGCTGTAGCTGTCAGGGCTTCGTGCCCCCAAGCCTCTCAGGCCTCAGGGCTCTCAAAACCCTAAACCCTAAACCCTAAACCCCTAAACCCTAAACCCTAAACCCTAAACCCTAAACCCTAAACCCTAAACCCTAAACCCTAAACCCTAAACCCTAAACTTAAACCCTAGACCCTAAACCCTAATGCCGCGAAGGGGCCTCAAAGCGAAAGGCTCTGAATAGTGATCTACATGGTTGGCCTTCTGGACGGCATTGTACGCCCCAAGCCCTACTACACAAAGTAGAGGGCACCAAAATGGCTCAGACAGAAGAGGGAGGCACCCATGGTTCAGCATTTAGGTTGTAAGATTTGGGGTTCCGGGCTTAAGGGCCAAACCCTAAACCCTAAACCCAAACCCCTGAACCCTAAAGCCTAAACCCTAAACCCTACACCCTACACCAGGGTTTGGAGTGGGTTTAGGGTTCAAGGGTTTGGGGTTGAAAGCTCACCATGCCCCAACATGACCCTAAACCCTAAAACCCTAAAACCCTCAAACCCTAAAACCCTAAAACCCTAAAATCCCTAATCCCTAAACCCTAAACCCTAAACCCTAAACCCTAAACCCTAAACCCTAAACCCTAAACCCTAAACCCTAGACTCAGGGACAGCAGGCAGGACAACTGCAGGGCCAAGCTTTGGCCTCGTGACCCCGTTGTAGGATTCAGGGTTTTAGGGGTTAGGGTTTAGGGTTTAGGGTTTAGGGTTTAGGGTTTAGGGTTTAGGGTTTAGGGTTTAGGGTTTTAGGGTTGTAGGGGTTTAGGGTTTTAGGGGTTTAGGGTTTTAGGGGTTTAGGGTTTTAGGGTTTAGGGTTTAGGGTTTTAGGGTTTTAGGGTTTTAGGGGTTTAGGGGTTTAGGGTTTGGGGTTTAGGGTTTAGGGTTTTAGGGATTTAGGGTTTAGGGTTTAGAGTTTAAAGCTCAGAGTTCAGGGTTCAAGGTTTACCCGAAACCCTAGACCTGCAGGATTTAGGCCGTTGGACAATGAGTAGAAGCCTCCGGAAGAACTGCCCTGACTTGCAGTCCTACACCCTACGCTTGGGGTTTAGGTTTAGGGCTTAGGTTTAGGGCTGACAGTTTAGGGCTTAGGGTTTAGGTTTTAGTACAGCCCTGCAACCTTGTGAACCCTACAACCTTGCGAAATCGGAATGGCCTGCCCCTGCCGGATCCTGGCCACGATCTCGGGCTCGCCTGGGGAGTTTGGGTTCAGGGCTTCGCTACTTACTCATATGGGCTTTGCTGCTAAGGGTTAGGATTGAGGGTTGGGGGTCTTGGGTGACCCTTAACCGTAAACCCTAAGCCTCTAAAACCCTAAACCCTAGACCCTAAACCCTAAACCCTAAACCCTAAAACCTAAACCCTAAACCCCATACCCACTCCAATCTGAGCTTAGGACTTAGGGATTGCAGGGTGTCAGGGCGTAGGGCTTACGGAGGACTGGGAGTCGGTCTGACAAGAGGCTTACTTCCCATTTAGGGTTGGGGATTATAGGGTTTAGGGTTTAGGGTTTAGGGCTTAGGGCTTAGGGTTTGGGGTTTAGGGTTTAGGGTTTAGGCGATTTAGGGTTTAGGGTTTAGGCGGTTTAGGGTTTAGGGTTTAGGCGGTTCAGGGTTTAGGGTTTAGGGTTTAGGGTTTAGGCGGGCGGTTTAGGGTTTAGGGTTTGGGCGGTTTAGGGCTTGGGGTTGAGGACTCCCAAAAGGATGGTTGCTGCCCCGTCGAGCTCTCTTGCGAAGCCTTCGGAAACTGCCACGGCTACTCATATGATCCCCTTCGTGTCATTCTGCCGCTAAACTGCCCAGAGTTTAGCCCCCCCCCCCCCTAAACCCTAAACCCTAAAGCCTAAACCCTAAACCCTAAACCCTACACCCTGAACTCCCCACCATATGACCCTCAACTTCAAAAGGAGAGCATGCTCAGCAGCCGAAGCACTGGCTCCGCGGCCGGGGTAGAAGGGGTGCTGGCCTCTGCAAGGAGTATAGGGTGTTATTAGGGTTTAGGGTTTAGGGTTTTAGGGTTTAGGGTTTAGGGTTTAGGGGTTTAGGGTTTAGGGTTTAGGGTTTAGGGTTTAGGGTTTAAGGTTTAGGGTTTAGGGTTTAGGGTTTAGGGTTTAGGGTTTAGGGTTTAGGGTTTAGGGTTTAGGGTTTAGGGTGGTTCACAGCTTAGGGAGCCTTAGGGAGTAGTTGGGGAGTATCAGGGAACCTTGGGTTACACACACGGCTTAGGGAACAGAATCTGACGGTCTCAGCTTTGGCGGTCCCTACCCCAAGCACTTCCCGCAAAAAAAACAATAATCAGAAACAAATGAAGAAAAAACAACAACAACACAAAAGCATGAGCCGTGGTACCAACGAGCCTGAACACCTCAAACCCTTGACCAACAAACCTGCTCAACCCGAAACCCTAAGCGCCTAAGCTCCTAAGACATTGAGCCCTGCGCTCTGAAAAAGCACAACGCCTGAAACCTAAGCCCCGAAAACCCCAAACCCTAAGCCCCTAGCACCCCCAAGGTCGTAAGCCTGAACTCACCCTCACCCTAAACCCTCAACCCTCAACCCTCAACCCTAAACCCGAAACCCGAAACCCGAAACCCTAAAGCCTAAACCCTAAACCCTAAACCCTGAACCCTGAACCCTAACCCTCAACCCGGATGCTGGCAGCGGCCTGTTATGAGAAGGTACAGGATGCATCCGATGGCCCAGACATCGACCTGGTGACTTCTCAAATGCTTTGGAGGCTTTGGGTGGGTTTAGGGTTTAGGGTTTAGGGTTTAGGGTTTAGGGTTTAGGGTTTAGGGTTTAGGGTTTAGGGTTTAGGGTTTAGGGTTTAGGGTTTAGAGTTTAGGGTTTAGGGTTTTTAGGGTTTATAGGGTTTTAGGGTTTTAGGGTTTTAGGGTTTTAGGGCTTTAGGGCTTTTAGGGTTTAGGGTTTTAGGGTTTTGGGGTCTTAGGGTTTAGGGTTTTAGGGTTTTGGGGTTTTAGGGTTTTAGGGTTTTAGGGTTTTAGGGCTTTAGGGCTTTTAGGGTTTAGGGTTTTAGCGTTTTGGGGTCTTAGGGCTTTAGGGCTTTAGGGTTTTAGGGTTTTGGGGTTTTAGGGTTTTAGGGTTTTTAGGGCTTTAGGGTTATAGAGTTTTGAAGAGGCGGGTAGAAGGGACCTAGGGGCTTGCCTTCAAAGGTAGGGCTGCAAGGGGCGATGTAAGGGAAAGCTCCTTTTCCGATAATCTGGTGAGGCGTGTGCTCATGGGATAGGAGGAGTCTGGGGCAAAAAGCGTGCAATTTCGCATGACTTCCCTTAGGGCTTTCGAAACCCCGCAGCCCTGAACCCTAAACCCTACTTCCTGGAAACTGATTCCTAGGCCCGTGCGTCAGGGACCACCTGATCCTACACAGGTTGCTCTTCAAAACAGTTTCTAAGGGTGCATTCTTTGGGGGCAAAGGGCTTAGGGCTCAAAACCCTGAACCCTCAAACCCCTGAACCCCTAAAACCCCGAAAGCCCCAAAACCCTAAACCCTCCACCCAAAAACCCCATAAACCCTAGCATTCCCAGCCTTCTCTCCGTACGCGCCATCTCCTTGCGAAGCAAGCATCTCGGGAGCCTTCACACATCAACACAGGGCTTGAGAGGGAATCTAGGGGTTTTGGGGGGTTTAGGGTTTAGGGCTAGGGTTTAGGGTTTTGGAGTTTGGGGTTTAGGGTTTTGTTTTAAGGTTTAGGGTTTCCACGCAGGGCTTTTAGGGGTTCAGGATGTTCAAACTTGGGGTGTTTAAGGGTTTAGGGTTCAGGGTTTAGGGTTTTGGGGCTTAAGGGTTTACGGGGTTAGGGATCAGGGGCTTAAGCGGGTTAAGGGTTGGAGGTTATTAGGGTTTAGGGCTTGAGGCTTTAGTGTTTTTTGCCTTCAGGTCTTGGGGCTTGGTGCTTTAGGGTTGTAGGATTTAGGGCATTTAGGGCTTGCGGTTCTACGGCTTGGGGTTCAGGACTCTAGGCTTTTTGGGTGGTCCCCTACGACCCGACCACAAGCAATGCATAGGAACCCCCCGCCCACAAAAATCTGGGTCAGACCAAACGAAAGTGCTCAGACGAAGAAAGCAGAAACCGCAAGGAAGAAGGGGGCAGCGCTTGGAGTATGAAGTTTGCCACGTTGAATTGGGAGGAGGCTCATGGATTAATGGGCCAAATGCTACAAACAGGGTTGGGGCTTCAAAATCAAAACCCCTCTTAAAAGTGTGATTACATGCCGCCTTCCCAAAGTCAAAATAAGGCCTTAGGGGTAGTTCGGGTGAAGGGGGGGTGGGGGTAGCACCGGCTCCCATAGTATCTGAGGCGACGGGCCATGAAGACCAGCGTGCCAGCCTGGCTGATGGTGGCTTTGGGTCTCGGATTTAGGGTTCAGGGTTCAGGGTTCAGGGTTTAGGGTTTAGGGTTTAGGGTTTAGGGTTTAGGGTTTAGGGTTCCGTTCTGTCATTGAGGTACCATTCACAGGGCATCCTGAACATAGAGGCGCCTTCTTCTTGCACCTCTCAAGCAAAGGAACGTACACCAGGCAAAGACTTGTGGGCTTCAGGGGGATTCTGCACAGATACCTTGGCTACGAGAATTCCATGGTTCCCCTTCGCAAACCCCGCAATCTTGAACAACTCCCTAAACTTAAACCCCACACCCCTACACCCTCAAACCTCGACCCCTAAAAGTGCAAACCACTAAACCCCATGGCCCCATGGCCCACGCCTTAAAACTCGAAACCCTAAACCCAAAATGCGAATGATATGCAGACATTGCGACGCTGAATCTTGGGCTGAGAGGTTAGGGGTGCAGGTTTTAGCTAGAGTGTAGTCTCTAGGGTGTCCTCGTGAACACGAGCATCCCCCCCGAAAGGGAGTGGCTACCTAACAACCTACGCTCCGGGTACCCTAACTACCTAACTCATTCCCTACCAAGAACCAGTACCCCATACCCTAAACCCTAAACCCTAAACCCTAAACCCCAAACCCCAAACCCTAAACCCTAAACAGGTAGAAGGGCAGAAGCTCGCAAGTCTAAGGGCGCCGCCCGTTCCATGGCTTTCCCTCCAGCTGCCGCGCGGAGGCCTGGGCCAGAATCAGGATCTCACCCTGAACCCTAGGGTTTAGGGTTTAGGGTTTAGGGTTTAGGGTTTAGGGTTTAGGGTTTAGGGTTTAGGGTTTAGGGTCCTAGGGTTTAGGGTCCTAGGGTCGTAGCGTCCCTAGGGTCCCTAGGGTTTCCAGGGTCCCTAGGCTCCCTAGGGTCCCTAGGCTCCCTAGGGTCCGAGCAGGCCCTAATGCCACCTGGTATGTATAGGACCAATTACCCCGAAAGCCGAAACCCAGCACGAGGAATGGCTGTTCAGAGCAAGGCACGCTGGAGGAAGTCTGCCAAGCCAAAGTCGATGACCTGGGTTGTGGGGTTCAGGGTTGATGAAATCCGATGCTAGACACCCCCCAAAACCCTAAACCCTAAACCCTAAACCCTAAACCCTAAACCCTAAACCCTAAACCTCTATATATGTAGGTTTGGAGTTTAGGGTTTGCGGTTGGAACTGTGGGTTGAGGTACTAACCCCCACAATCAGTTTATGATGGAGCGGATACCTTTGCAGAGCTGAAGCCCAAAAAAGCTAGCCATTCCTACAGAAAGACACCACGCACACAAGCTTAGGGTTTAGGGTTTAGGGTTTAGGGTTTAGGGTTTAGGGTTTAGGGTTTAGGGTTTAGGGCTTAGGGTTTAGGGTTTCGGGTTTCGGGTTTAGGGTTTAGGTTTTAGGGTTTAGGTTAGGATCGGTCTGCTGCAAAGTCATGTCGCGTCTGATGCTCTGGAAAACGGACGGGAAACACAGGGAAATGCGTTGGGAGAGGGAAGGGAAAAACATCGAAATACTTGTTGTGGGCCCCCTCCTCCCATATCGGGTCCGCTGACATCTTCTTAACATGCTTAGTAGCCCAGTGACCATCCCTAAACCCTAAACCCTAAACCTAAACCCTAAACCCTAAACCCTAAACCCTAAACCCTAAACCCTAAACCCTAAACCCTAAACCCTAAACCCTAAGCAAAATCCTACCTCGAGCCCCTGGGCCCTCTTGGAAGGCGGAGACACCTGGGGCGCTGGCTTTGATCGGGCTATCCGGTGCCTGCATCGTAGGGGTTTAGAGCTTCAGGGTTAAGGGGGTTTAGGGGTGTAAAGTTTAGGGTGTGAGGTTTAGGGTTAGGGTGTTGGGTTTAGGGTTTAGGGTTTAGGGGTTGAGGGGTTTAGGGTTTAGGGGTTTAGAGCTTTAGGGGTTTAGGGGGTTTAGGGGTTTAGGGTTTTAGGGTTTGAGGTTTAGGGTCTATGGGGCTTATGGAGCTTGTAGGACTTAGAGGGCCTGAGGGGTTGTAGAGGTTTAGGGCTCAGCGTGGTTCGCGCGAACGGTGCGTGCGACAGAGTCCTCGGGGAGAGCATCTCAAGTCTGCAGGGTGCTGTCCCTCCTGAAAGCCCTGTAGCCTAAACTCTAAACCCTAAACCCTAAACCCTAAACCCTAAACCCTATACCCTGAACCCTAAACCCTAAACCCTTCAGGGTATGCACGACGTGGGTTGAGGGTTAAAGGACGTGGGACAAGGGCCGTTGGGATTGAGGCTTCGGGTGCTTCGGGTTTAGGGTTGGTTGGCAGAGGGGTTATCAGGCTACTTTAGAAGGATGAGAATCATAGCCCTGAAACAAGATCCTAAATCCGAAGCCCGAAGCCCGAAACCCTAAACTCTGACAAAGAGATGAAGCCGCAACCACTGAACCCTAAGCTTCTAGCCTGAGGGCCCTAAACCCTAAACCCTGAACCTTGAACCCCTAACCGTAAACCCTAAACCCTAAACCCTAAACCCGAAACGCTAAACCCTAAGCCCTAAACCCTAAACCCTAAACCCTAAACCCTAAACCCTTACCAATCCGCAAAAAGCCCTGAGGTGGGAAAGGCCTTGGTGGCGTAGAGCACATTGTCCGGCTTTAAGTCCTTCTAGGGTTCAGGGCTTAGGGCTTAGGGCTTAGGGCTTAGGGCTTAGGGCTTAGGGCTTAGGGCTTAGGGCTTAGGGCTTAAGGCTTAGGGCTTAGGGCTTGGGGCTTAGGGCTTAGGGCTTAGGGCTTAGGGCTTAGGGCTTAGGGCTTAGGGCTTAGGGCTTAGGGTGTCGGGCTTACGGGTCTAGGTGTTTGGGGTGTCCTGCTTCGGCTTGGGGAATAGCGTGGCTTAGAGCTTCTGAGTGCTTAGGGGGTTAGGGCGCCAGGGGGATCCAAGGTTGAGTTGCTCGGGGGCCCTGATTTGAGGGTAAAAGTTTCCACAATAACTCTAAACCCTAAACCCTGGCCCTAAACCCTAAACCCTAAACCCTAAACCCTAAACCCTAAACTCTAGACCGCGATGGGCATCTTCTCTCTGCCCCAAACCTGGCAGGGTACAACTGACTAAAAGCTTGTGAGGGGTCCACATGGGGGGTTTCCGATAATAGGGTACCCTTTTTGGGGGTCCCTTTAAGGGGATTCTATTCTGTTTGGGGTATAAAAGGGGTACACCTATGTTGGGAAATACCCACATCCCAAGGGCTCAACCACTCAGACCCAAAAGATCAACCCTCGAAATCCTAGGCCACTAAAATGCTAACCCTGCACCTTACAACCTTGAGCCGCAAACCCTAAACCCTAAACCCTAAACCCTAAACCCTAAACCCTAAACCCTAAACCCTAAACCCTAATATAGCTGTAACCATTCATGCTGGAACAAACCCATGAAAAGCTTCAACCCGAAACCCTTCATCCTTCATCCCCCAAACCCAAAAACCCCAAAACCCTAAAACCTGAATCTGTTTGCAAGGATCCTGGGCCGGAGGCTCTCAAGTACCCCAGCCCAAAACGAACAAGCGAACCTACGGGTACTTTAGAGGTTTTAGGGTGTAGGGTTTCAAGTTTAGGGTTGGGGGTTTCAGGTTTCGGGTTTAGGGTTCAAGGTTTAGGGTAACCCTACATGAAGCAACGGTCCCTGTGAATGACGCCACGGCTGTGGCAGTAGGCCTCAGCGGCAGCAGCGAAGAGGTCTAGGATTTAGGCGGCGGTGGGTGTGGGCTGCTGCAGTTTCACAACCCTAAACCCGCTAAAGCCGAACACCTCAAGGCACAACACTCAAGGCAGCAATTACGGGGTGGTTTCTCTAAGGGCTGCGTAGGCCACTGAAGCCCGGATTTACGCTTCAGGTTTTGGGCTTGGGGGGGGGGGGAGAGATGGTGAGGGCGCAGGAAAGCAAACGCCGCCTTTCGACTCCTGCATTGCGAGGAAGCGCAACAACCCCTGTCACTGGGAGCGGTGTGCGCTTGTCTCAAGCTGCAACTCCATGAGTGTGTTTTTTCAAGCTCGGGTCCCTTCCAGGGTTTTTTCTTCATGCCTGTTGCTTTTCGGTGGTTTCTTGCTGTTCTTAAACGTGTGATGACGATTATCATTCTTGTAGCTCGCAGGGTTCTTTGTAGAAGGAAACTCCCCAGGAAGGGCCCTAATCTAATTCAAAGCGGCGAAAAGTTTAGGATTTGGGGGGTTTCCGGTCTGGGGTTTAGTGCTGCCGTGTGTATATATATATATACTACGACTTTTGGGGTTATAGGGCCAAACCCTGCACCCTAAACCCCAAACCCTAAATCCCAAACCCAAAGAAAAAACAACAAATCCTAAACCTAAACCCTAAACCCTAAACCCCATACCCCAAACCCTAAACCCTAAACCCCAAACCCTAAACCCTAAACCCAGCTCTCACGGCTCGGGAGTGTCAGAGGGCAGCAGCCACTCACTGCGGGGGGAGGCCAAGGCCAGCCGCCTTCAACGCCGGCTTGCATGTTTAGGGTTTGGGGTTTGGGGTTTAGGGTTTAGGGTTTAGGGTTTAGGGTTTAGGGTTTAGGGTTTGGGGTTTGGGGTTTGGGGTTTAGGGTTTAGGGTTTAGGGTTTAGGGTTTAGGGTTTAGGGTCTAGGGTTTGGGGTCTGTAGGGTTCAGGGGTTGGGGTTTAGGGTTGAGGCTTAAGGGCTAAGGGTTTAGGTCAAACAGGATGTTGAGGGGTTTCGAGCTTTGGGGGGTGCTTGTTTAGTTTTGGCTTACCTGGTAGCCCAGGAACCATACTGTGATAAGGGTACCCGTTTTTTGGTTGGATACTATTTCAGGGTTTAGGGTTTAGGGTTTAGGGTTTAGGGTTTAGGGTTTAGGGTTTAGGGTTTAGGGTACCCAAAACCAAAAAAAGCTCAACCCCGCCCTACACTCCGCCCGCCTCCACTGGCACAAGGTCACGCCGCCCAGAGCTGTCGCCATCCCCACGGCAGCCAGCAGAATGCAGCGTTCCGGCAATGGTGGAGATAGGTTCTCCGTCCTGGGTTTAGGGTTTAGGGTTAAGGGTTAAGGGTTTAGGGTTTAGGGTTTAGGGGTTCGGGTTTAGGGTTTAGGGATTAGGGATTAGGGTTTAGGGTTTAGGGTTTAGGGTTTAGGGTTTAGGGTTTAGGGTTTAGGGTTTAGGGTTTAGGGTTTAGGGTTTAGGGTTTAGGGTTTAGGCTACGGGCTTACAGAGTCTCGGCAGGTTTTAGGCAGCCTGCGAAGATGAGGGCTACAAACGGCGAATGGCACAGCACATCTCAAGAAGACATGTCAAGCAACCCTGCCTAATCACAAAACAGTTTAGGGTTTAGGGCTTAGGTTTTAGGGTTTAGGGTTTAGGGTTTAGGGTTTAGGGTTTAGGGTTTAAAGTCTAAGCAACACTGGGCCGGGCGAACTCAGTCTTTAGGCAGATCTAGGTAAGGGGTTAATCCCCATGTGGTGCTTTATGGACCCTAGGCTTCTGGCGAGTATAAGATCCCATACCGGGGCCCAAGACCCAGCGTCTAAGCCTGCAAGGAAAGAGCGACTAGGTACTTCGGGACTCAGGCAGCACTGAATCCTCGCCCTCCCAGAATTCAGAGCCTAAACCCTAAACCCTAAACCCTAAACCCTCAACCCCAAACCCTAAACCCTAAACCCTAAACCCTGAACCCCAAAGATCCAGCAACTGGGGGCTTCTTCAGCTCCTGAACGCTAGACCCCAAGAAGCCCGAGACCCCAAACCCTCTAACCTGAGCCACAAGGAAGCCCAAACCCTACCCACAAATCCCTCAACCCTAAACCCTAAACCCACAAGTAGCCGTAAGGAACCCGAAGCCCAAAGAAGGGGCAGGGCACAGCATCGCGAAGGTGCGGGGCGGCCGCTCGGAGGGCGTTCCCCGTTTGTTGGGGCAGCGCCCGGGGTTCCTCTCTGAGGGTAGTTGCATGGGTCCTACAGGGTTTAGGGATTTTAGGGTTTAGGGTTTAGGGTTTAGGGTTTAGGGTTTAGGGTTTAGGGTTTAGGGTTTAGGGTTTAGGGTTTAGGGTTTAGGGTTTAGGGTCTTCAGGTTCGGGTTTTAGGGTTACCTCGCCAGCTGAAGAGGGCCTAGGGCTCCCTCTCGGGTTCGGGGCATTTTAGGGTTTAGGGTCCAGGGTTTAGGGTTTAGGGTTCCTGAAGTAGGGGGCTTGATCGAGCATTCAGGGGCTCCCGCTGAAAGAGCAAAAAAGACGGAGAGAGCGAGGGGAAAAAAAACGGAAAGAGTGAGTGAGACCAAACCCAGCTTTGTGCAGCCCTAAGCCCTAAACCCTAAACCCTTAGCCCTAAACCCTAAACCCTAAACCCTAAACCCTAAACCCTAAAACCGACAAAGATGCACAAGGGGGCCAGGGGCTCATCGTTTGGGAGCAACTACGGAGTCGCCAAAACCCCAGGTGTTTTAGGACTTTGGGGTTTCGGGTTTGAGGTTTAGGGTTTAGGGTTTAGGGTTTAGGGTTTAGGGTTTAGGGTTTAGGGTTTAGGGTTTAGGGTTTAGGGTTTAGGGTTTAGGGTTTAGGGCGCAAAGCCCGAAACCCAAAGAACTAAAACCTCCCCGACGCTGACCTCAGGCGGTGGCTCCTTATGATCATGACGACATCGGATGCCGCAAAGCGCTGGTCGGAGTTGTCGTTCTCCGTGGCACAGGCGGGGCCCTGACCGGATCTTCCAATGGTACCCCAAAGCGCTGCACACCCCCCCCGCCCCACCCCAAAAAATCCTGCACCCTACTTCAACCTACGAAGCCAGTAAACCTAAATCAAGACCCTTCAAACCGAAGTCCTGACGCCGAGCAATTAAAACCCTAAAACGCCCGATGCCTTCATAAGCCCCAACTGAGCTCCCTGAACCTCAAACGCCCTAAACCTCTTCTTAGCCGCATAAACCCTAAATCCTATCCCTAAACCCTAAACCCTAAACCCTAAACCCTAAACCCTAAACCCTAAACCCTAAACCCTAAACCCTAAACCCCAAACCCCAAACCCCAAACCCGAAACCCGAAACCCTAAACCCTAAACCCTAAACCCTAAACCCTAAACCCTAAACCCTAAACCCCAAACCCCAAACCCTACTAAACAAAAGCACCTCGGCCGGACCCGACGCGCCGTCCCAGATGTACGCCGAGATGGGCCGCGTGCGGCCCAGGGACTGGCGGCTGCCGTCGTAGGTGAACCTTTTAGGGTTTAGGGTTTAGGGTTTAGGGTTTAGGGTTTAGGGTTTAGGGTTTAGGGTTTAGGGTTTAGGGTTTAGGGTTTGGGGTTTAGGGTTTGGGGTTTAGGGTTTAGGTTTAGGTTTTAGGGTTTAGGGCTTGGGTTTAGGGAGCTTAAACATCGTCTACTGAGTAAGTTTGGGGGCCCTGTAAAGAAATTATACTTTTATATGATTTTAAGGAGCCCTGTAAAAGCTTCATTACTTTTACGGCTATATCAGGATCATATAGTGGATAAAGGGTAACAAAATTCAAGCAATATGTTCAAACCTACAGGGTTTGTGCGGGCGTTGACCGGCTAAACCCTAAACCCTAAACCCTAAACCCTAAACCCTAAACCCTAAACCCTTTTAACAAGATGGCTCAAGGGCTCCATGGGCTGCAGGGGCTTGAAAATTGGTTTCAGGGGCTTTAAGCCAGGGTTGGGCAGGGGGGTTGTGTGTAAACTGTTTAAGCTTTTTGCGTTTGAGCACCACCCTTAAAAGGGGACCCCTCATGGAAGGTAAGGGACCGCCAAAACCCCCAAAACCCTAAACCCCAAACCCTAAACCCACAACCCTGCGCCCTAAGCCTTTTGGGAGCCTAGGGTTTTAAGAGTCTTTACCCTAGACCCTGGATCAAAAAGGTGTATGCCTTGTTAGGTATAAGTAGCTATACTAGGAACCGGGAACCAAAAAGAGCATTTTAAAGTATAGTACTCCAAAACCCAGTTCAAGCTCAAGAGATGCAAAGTGGCTTCTTCGGGTCCACGGGCCGGTGATCCTTGTTCTCGAAGACGCAGGCAACACGATGCCACCTCCACCTTACGATGGGCCGCTTTTGGGGGGCTTTGTTGGGGGGGCTTTCGGGGGCGCGCAACCCTAAACCCTAAACCCTAAACCCTAAACCCTGAACCCTGAACCGTGAACCCTAAACCCTAAACCCTAAACCCTAAGCCTTTTGGGAGCTCGGGTCTCAGGTTTTATGGGTTTTGGGGGGGTTTTGGGATGCCACCTCCACCTTCGATAGGCCGCTGGGCCTTTTGGGGGCTTTCTTGAGCCTTTTCTCCTTACTAATTGCTAAAGGATCCCCAAAAACATAAAAATATTCTTCCTCATTAAGGGTAGTCTAGGGATGTACTATTTTTTCTTCTTTTGGGGGTCTTACGCAAATAGCCCTGTTTGGCCTGTTTGCAGGTTTTGGGGGGTTTGGGGTTGTTTCGGAGCTTGGGAGCTTTGGGAGGTTTGGGGAGTTTTGGGAGTTTTTAAGTGAGTTTAAGGGAGTTTTTGGGAGGTTTTGGAAGTTGTTGGGAGTTGTTTGGGAGTTTTTTGGAGTTTCTGGGTTTGTGGGTTTTTAGGGCTGCAGGGTCGAAGAGGTTGGTTGAGAGCTCCGGGTTGCCAAAGCTGATCCAAGCGACTCCGCATGCGTGGCATTCAGCACGGTGAGCATGCCAGGGCCAAAGGAAG